TTTTTTTTTTTTTTTTTGTATTTTAACCACTCTTATAAGGGAAGCTTTCCCTGCTGGTTGTCCCTGAGCTCCTGCCTTCACCGTTTTTATTTTGTCTGATTCTTTCCTCATCTAGTCACCAAGCCTTCAGAGGTCCTGTGTAAATTACAGCAGGCCCCTGTGGCTTAGGCTGCAGCTCTTGATCTGCCCAGGAAGTAAGAAACCACGCTGGAGTCCCAAATCTGTATTTCACTCTTATTAGCATATTGCTTTAATGCTCGGCCTCTGGCCTGGTCTGAAATCATTGCTAATATGAATATGCTCTTATTTTTTTTCCATTTTTTTTTATTCTTTTGCCCTTATTGCATCACGTTTCCTCTAGCCAAGAGGACAGACAGAGGAGAATCTGGTGTCATTGCTGTGGCTCAATGAATACACAGTGGGTATAATGAAAGTGATGAGTTTGGCATTCCCTTCCCTTTCTCCTTGCCCTTCATGATGCAGTGTGGTAATCTGGATCTGCTGAACCCCAGATCCAGCTCCTGTGATGTACAGATGTCAGATAATACTGTTCTCACACCACTGTAGCAACCAACCATCAAGCAACCACAGCAGTTGCTTTCATTAAAGCTGAACATTTCTGGAACACATCACGGTCTCCCTTTTTTAATGAATGAAAGGTTTTACTGAGCTCTGGAAGATTAAAAGCGTTTCTTTTTGGAGAAAAAGATTTAACATTTTGAGAAGGCTTTGTGTTTCAGTAATGATGTGATTCTTACTTCTGTTAAACCATTGATCAACTCTTAGTAGTGACATTCCTCCCTTTTCCCTCTCATTAAAAGTTCTGTGAATGTGTTTGGGAGAAGGGTGGGGGTGGGGGAAAGTGTGTTCTGTGATAAGAAAGCAACATTCCAGCCATGTGCTATCAGTTAGTGACTAGCCCAGTAAAAATCGTATCAAAATATCAGCCAGATGACCAGCTATGCTATCCTTTATTAAAGACCTTTTTTTTTCCCTCATGGTTACCGTGTCTACCCTAAGAACAACTTATTTTTCAAAATTGTGCCAAGTTTTTAATAAGGTTAGCATTGCCATAGGACTAAGACAAGTCTTGAGGGCAAAAAGTTCTGGATTCTAATTCTGGTTCTGCCACATAATTGGCACACAGCCTGAGGAAAATTGCTGGGATTCTGCAACCCAGTTACAACCCAATTAAAATTTGTCATGTGGAAGGACCTAGCTCTGCCATGGAACTGCACACAAGTTTTCTAAAGATTGCATTTCACTGATCCTTATGGAAAAATATAGAATTTGATAACAGTGAAACCTGAAATACTCTGTTAAAATTACTTGTGCACAAATACAGGATTATTTTTTCCAAATAAAAAAGCTGCATATCTAGACTTCCAACCACATAGGATGCAGTCCAACCACTTTTTGTGGAACAGTCAGAGGAGGAGAAGCCTGAGGAGGCTGACAGCAGTGATGCAGTTAAATTCATAGAATTTAGAAATTTAATGAACAAAGAAATGCTTTGGAAAATAAAATTCTAAGAATATGACCTGTTGTCTATAAGCATAAGTGAGCCATTAATGCTTAATCTAAATTAGATATGTGTATAAATATATATTAACGTAAGCTTATATAATACATGTGTTTTCTGTCTATAAGTATAACTAGAAATCACCAGTCTGTAACTGAAAATAACTGGATATTTGGTGGGTGTGTTTTTTTGAAGTGGTTAAGAGATGATGGGAGGGCATTGATAGGATAAAGGTTTCTGATTGTCAGCATCAGCTATCTGGATCCTGCAGTTTGATGGGATAACTTCTGTTTAAATTTCCTGTGAAGTATATAGAGAAAATATTTTCATGCATTTTATCTTTAGAGTAAGGCTGCATCTCTCTCATGCAGGCTAAATCCCATTCCACAGCATAGGGGCATAAGTGGGAAATAACTGGCCAGCTCCTGCTACAACTAGAATAAGAAGTTTACAAGAATTCTCTCTGTTGCCTTACTCTATACTTACTAACAAAGGTGTGTTTTGGACAGAGCTCTAAAAATAATTAACATATATATAATACAATTCTGTAGATCCCTTATGGAAGTGAAAATGCTGTTTCGACTCAGGATGTGAGGGAATTGTTAAGGGAATCATTAAGCCAAACACATGCTACAAATTTTAATTGCTGTAACCAAATTATGAAAAAAAAAAAGAGAGATTACAATAAGGAATTCTGAAGTTGGTATTACAAAGATGACCTGCCTGTACTTCAGCTAAATCTTTCCCACTGGAGTGTATTGCCAGGATTCACTAGTTAGCATTTTCGTGTTTGAGTGCAGCGAGCAGGAAGGTGAAGCTTTTCTTTCCAAAATTTGCACGGATGATCGCGGGGTGACATGTCTCACTTATTCCTCGGTCTCTCTCCCTCCTTCTCTGGCTTGGCAGCTGTTCGAAGGGATGAAGGCGTACCGAGGAGTGGATGGCAAAATCCGCCTCTTCCGCCCAGCCCTCAACATGGACAGGATGGCTCGATCAGCACGCAGAACGACTCTGCCAGTACGTACCCAGAGCAGCTCCTGCTCCTTGAAACAGGCTCCTCAGAGCAGGACTTCATTGTCAGAGTGCAGGTCTCTACGGCTTTTCAGCAGTAGCATTTTTCAGACACTCTTAAGTCTTTGGTAGCACGGTAAAACTTTTGTTAACAGATCTTATTCATTGAAGGAAACCATTTAAGTGCTTGTTTTAAAATCAGAATGGTGAGTATTTTGCTTTCATTGCTGTCTCTCTGCTGCCTCAGAGTGTTTCTGAGGGATGGATGCTATTCTGCAGACAGCTGTCTGATTTGCTCTTGTGCTGATGTTCTCCCTTTTCTTCTTTGCACTTCAGTTAAGTTGTTCAGCCTCCTGAGTGCCTTTGGTTTTGGTCATGCCAGTAACTTAACACCACTTTTAGCAATTGTATCTTGGCTGGTCAACTTCTTCCTAGGCTTATTAGCTTGGTTGCTGTAAGAACTTGGGAACTTTGGGAGACTTGCTGGCCCCTTGGAGTTGTAAACCAGAGTGCTCTTCTGTAGCAGAGGTGATGCTGTAGCTGGCAGCATGCCTGCAGATTTGGCTGCGCAGGGAGTTCTCCACATGCTTTGGAGGCAAGAGGGGTCAGAAGCTCCTTTTTACCATCTCAGGAGGATACTTTGGAGCAAAGGAGGTCACTCGGGTTACTGCACAAAAAGGCACAGTAGCTAAGACCATGGGATATTAAATATGAGGAATGAACCCAAGGGAGATGTGAACCTCTACAGTGTGTCACTGTTGCAGATCCTGAGGAAGTGTTCCCTGAAGCATGTGGATCTGTAAAGACCACAAAATGTTCCAGCTTTATTTATCCATGTACTTTTTTCCCTTTCCGTTCCTTGCCAGTCTTTTGACCAGAACGAGCTGTTGGAGTGCATCCGTAAGCTTGTGGAAGTGGAGCAAGAATGGGTCCCATACTCAACCTCTGCCAGCCTTTATATCCGTCCTACCCTTGTTGGAACTGAGGTGTGCAATATTTTTTTTCCCCTCTCTCTCTCTCTTTTTTTTTTTTTTTTTTTTTTAATTGGTGAGTTTTTTTCCTTGTTTTGTTTTATTTATTTAGGTGCAGGCAAAGTCCTCCATCCATACAGGGAGCTATTAAGCAGTCAGTAGGTGACAGGATGAAGTTTGGGGGCAGATTGGTTTTATGGTTTTATTTCTGAGTCCACAGCATGAATTTAAGGTTGACCACACTGCCACTCAGTGGGCGCACTGGTTCAGAGCACGGAAAATAAAACAGAGTTTCCTCCCACTACTCACAGTGGGAATGGAGCAATATTTGTTAATTGAGGTTGTGCTGAAGGGATAGTTGTACCTGACGTGGTAATATTAAAATCCTAATAATTCGGAGAGAACATGATGGAATGTTGCTCTGATTTTTAAAAGTCCACACTGGTCAAACCAACAGTCCATCAATTCTCTCCTCCCACAAAGAAGAATGCAAAATAATCATTATTTACATGAACATTGTGTGAGAACTCTAGTAGAAATATGTAAACATCAGAAGGCACAGGAAACTTTTAAAAGAACTTTAAAACTTTCAAAAGAACTATAAAAGAAAACACTTTTAAAAATCAGGGCAACAATGGAGTACAACTTCCTGTATACGTTTTGTAATTTCAAGTCATGCCTGTTAGTGAGGAGTTTTTGGAAGGTTTTACCGTGTAAATTAAGATGTCTCAGAAGACACACATACAGACCTAAGGACTAGTCCCTCTGTCAATTATTCTTGAAAACTGACCTTCTAAGGGGCTCCTTAGCAAATAGGTATTAATGTGTCCTCTCCGAGTTTCATGTATGAGTCAATTCTATAGTGGTGATAAAGGGAATTAGAAACAGAGAGTTTATTTTATTAAATCCTTCAAGGTTCTTTTTTTTCAGCAGTAGTAAGAAGGAAACATACAAAGGTAGAGCATAGCACAAGGAAGCTAAAGAATGTAGTTTCTAAACTAGGTAAGCTAAGCTCGTGCAGTATCCCTATCTGTAAGTAGTTACCATATGTGAGCATTTTACATTTCACATAGGTTCTAGGACTCCATTAATTTAATACTTTTAAACTAGTTGCAGATTTTCAGATTAAAGAATCTCCACTCAGTGACTATAAGCTACTGATATTAAAATTGGAGTGTTTACCTCTGTTTTTATTTTTGGAAGTTCTTTTGCTCTGAGCTTTGTTTCAGGATAGCAAACACTTGTGGCCTTTCCACTTTCACATGTTGTTTCCAGGTTGCATGTCCTACTAGTCTTTTGTGAATCACCCCAATCAGAAACACAATCTTTTGAATGATCGGATCAGCAAAAATATCAAGATCTCAGTTAATCCTGTTAGAAGTCGTTCTGAAGCAGCAAAGTAGACAGAAATCAAAGGAGCCTTTTCAGCACCTGAAGAACTCTGGCCAGCACCAGACTTCTTACCTCCACCTTCAAGTATTGATGGTGATGATTTGGAGTGTGAGAAGCCCTCTCTCAGAGAGGAGGGGGAGAAAAAACTCTTACATTGTTGGTTATTTCCTGTACTGTTGTGTGAGCTATTTTTAGCAGGCAAATAGTTTAGCTGTCACACAGGCATTCAGAGAGCCAGCACTCAACTCTAACAATGCCAGTTCTAAGTGGCACTGGACAGTTCTTCTCACTTAATGCAGCTGACAATTGTTTCTCCACTGTTGTTACTGCTAGGAGGGTCTTGCCACTCCTTCCCCCAGAAGGCTTTGTGGGCTTCTGGTATGATTAATTCATATTATTATATTAATATATTATATTTTATTATATTGTATTGTATTATATTGTATTATATTATATTGTATTCTATTGTATTCTTTCAATATAACTGTATAGCAGTTTGTTAAGCTAATCTTTGAATTCTTGAATTCAAACTTGAAACTATTTGAGAGTACTAGAATAACATATAGATAAACAGAATGGCTTTAAGTGAATGGTGAGAATATAATATTAGGGTTGTTGTGTTGCTTGGATCGGGGGGGAAGTTATATAAATATTCTTTATTCATGGCAGCACTTTCCACTGTCGTGGTAATAGCACTCTCATGCTGCAGTTTCACTGAAAGCAGTGTTTCAAAACCTGATGGTGCAGCCCCTGGTGTTTAAAGGACACCAGTAACTTTTGATTTGTTTACATTTCTTCATTTTCAGCCTTCCCTTGGAGTGAAGAAGCCGACTAAAGCCCTACTGTATGTCATTCTGAGCCCTGTGGGCCCTTACTTTGCAAGTGGAAGCTTTAATCCAATATCCTTATGGGCAGATCCAAAATACGTAAGAGCGTGGAAAGGGGGAACAGGAGACTGCAAAGTGGGAGGGTAAGAAAACATCATCCTGCATTTTCAACACAGCTCACGAAGCAGATTTGGTGTTTAGTGAAGTATCTAATCCAGCAGAAATAGAGACATTAAATGCAGTAGTTAAATAAATAACGTACTACAACAAAGAGTTCAAAATTTTACTTTGCTGATATTATTTATGCAACTCAGTTGCATGTTTTTGTTTGAATATTACAGCCAGTTGATTTTTTTACAGCATCTCAAGCTGAAAAACTGCACCTGGAATGTGTCCATGTGATACTTGGTCTCTTGCCCCTGTAGCAGTTGACACAGAAGTCACCACTTTGTGCTGCATCATCAGTGCAGCAGCCTGCTGCCAGCAGAGCAGGGAGCAGTTCTGGCTGCTGACCTCCTTCCTTGGACTGTCCTACCGAGGAGTTTCTTTGCTAGGCAGGAGTCAGTGGCTGTCAAGTGCTGCTCAGCTGAGCTGGTAGAGTAATCAGAGGGCAGGAAAGTAGCTTGCCTTAGTTCAAGCTGATCTTCTGAACCTCTGCTCTTTGTTTATGAGAATTTGCTTGCTGCTAGAAAGATACTGTTTCCCATTTCCACATACATCAGCTGTGAAAAAGAGTAGTCTGGAGTCATTACTGACTTCATTTGTGCCCAGAGGTAAAAACTTGGCTTCAGTGGGGTCAGCATTTTGGAGCTGCTGACTTTGTGTCTGGAAGGTTGTTGAAGATCAGACGCAAAAAGGTGGTTTTTTTGCCCCTCAAAGCAGTAGGCATTATTCAGTCAGGTTCACTCTGTAGACAGCATTTTAGAAAAAATTGCTCCTAGAGGATATGGAATGAATCTAGACATGATTGCATTTCCTGAATATGCTAGTTCTCTTAATATCTTTTATTAAGGAAAAAAACCCTCACCTTTGGTGTTATTTGTGCTCCAAGAGTTCCATCTAACATATATCCCCCATCTGACATGAGATAGATGAATTTAATAAAAAAACAACCAAAAAAACCCAAGAAAACCACCAAAAATCCCCTCAACCTGGAGGGGAATTGTTGCTCTCTCTCCAGGATGCCAACTGCTAAATAAAGGTAAATGCTTTTTGAGGGTTTTTACTTGCAATAATTAGAATGTCCAGAATATGGAACAAGAGTTATGTTTGATACAGTTTGGATGGATATGTTTGAGTTTTTGGTGCTATTCAGTCCTTTAAAGTTTTTGGATTGCAGGTACAAACAATCTAGTAAAATACTGGTGGGGTACTTCCACTGAAAATATCCCAGGACCAAGCAGTGACTATTGCAGAGCACTTGCTCATAAGGTAGATGTGCACAAAATCTTGTTTAAATTGAGAAGATGCCCAACCAGGTACTCATAACTCTCTGGTGTTGTTTTTGTTTTTGTTTTTTTTCCTGAAGGAATTACGGTTCTGCTATTTATGCCCAGCAAGAAGCCCTGGAGTTTGGCTGCCAGCAGGTTCTGTGGCTCTATGGAGAAGATCACCAAATAACTGAAGTTGGAACAATGAATCTTTTTCTCTACTGGATAAATGAAGATGGAGGTATGGTAACATAAAGTGTGAAACCTGTAACAGGACAGATGATTGGGACTGTAACCCAACAAAATGATTGTTAGAATGCAGATCATAATCTTTTTAATGAAGATGGTTTAAAAGGAAATGCCTGTTCTGAAAATCACTGGGTGACTGTTAGTTGTGAGACAGGAGATTCTGGAGCAGCTGTGAGTGCTGCCTGCTGATGACAGACTAAACTGCTGGGCTGGTCCACACACTCAGAAGGGCAGAGTTCAGCTGTGCACAAGGTCACATGCCAGCTTTGGTGTCAGCAGGATGTTTCGTCTCCAGGGAGGTGTTGGCTCAGAAGCAGTGCAGATGTGCTAAAAGGCAGCTTAGGGCTGTGCAACCCTTCAGACTCTGTAGCTTTGAGTAAGAGTGGCTCCCATCATCACTTGCTGGCCAGTCAAATATTCCTGAACCATATCCAGAAGTATTTCAGCAGCCAATCCAAAACTGTTTTCTTTGAAGAACTTGAAGCTCTGTTCAGTGGTAGCAGTGAGAGAAACATTTCAGTGAGTGTCAGGTATCACTAATGCTCCAAAGATGCTTTCAAGATGTATCATCATTCTTGAACCTATTTTTACCTTTTTCTACCCACAATCATCTCTGAGCAAGGTACATGCTGATTAAACTATTAAAACTAACTATTAACCATTAAAACCAGCCAACATCTCAAAACCACCCATTGGGTATGCAAGTATTCAATGCTTGTGATAGCTGCACCTGATAACTGGTTTGGAAGACTACTGGCAAGGGAATAAAAGACTTTTCTTCCCTTTTTTTTTTTTTTTTTCCCAAGAAGAAAGAAGACTTTCTTCTTGAATAAAAGTGATGTTCTCTCCGAGAAAATGAAGTGTTACTGAACTCTTGCAAGGCAGCAGGTGTGGGGGTCAGCATGATTTCATTCTAGTGCCATGAGTACCTTTGGAAACTGTCAGCTTTCTGCAGAAAACAGGCAGCATTTGTGGGGATAACAGCATGCCTTGTATAATGTAGTGTGATTGGGATCCAGCTACCTGACTCCCATCTCCAGTTCTTGTTCTTCTGTAAAATCTTTACCACACTTGTAAGAAGAGTGATAATGCTCCCTCAGTGCTGAATAAGTCTGTGAAGCTTTATGAATGAAGTGATAAATATTAGACATTTATTTGTCAGTGTATATAGATGGCCAAATTTATGCCTTGTGGAACTTAGCTGGAAAAACATGAAAATAGATTTTGGATTGTTCTGCCCAGGGAAGGACACCGAAGCGGGGACGTAATTAGAATTCAATGTTCTCATTGTACTTAAACCAGGAATATGCTGGAATGACGCGGTGCAGCTGCAGCCCCGTGCTGTTCCAAAGACCTGCCAATCACGGTGCCACCAGTGCAGTGCTCAATGGTGCTATTGTGAGGTGCTTGTAACAAACAACTTGTAATTCTTGCCACCCAAGAGGGCTGTCTGCTGGCAAACCTGTCATTTCACAGGACATGGGCATTATCCTTGTGGAGCACTTTGCTGTCTCCCAGGGTGCTGAGGAACTCTTAATCTGTGGGATCTTTGGCTGAGAATCACCCATGCTGCCAACGTGTGTCATCACATACCTGCCTGTGGCTTTGCATGAGGATTTAGAATTTGTCATTGTGTTCTGTCACTTCACAAAGGACACTCATTCAGACTGGGGTTTGGTTTTGTTATGCAAAAGCTGCAGCTGAGAGGGATCAAAAAAAGTGAGGCAGAAATATCGGATCATCATCAAAAGAGAATATCCATCTTTGTGTGTTCTGAGGTCGCTGCTGGGAGCTGAACTGCTCTCCTTAGTTTGTAACCAGAGGCTTATCCCAGTAAAGCCTGGCCTGGGGAACAGCCATGCTCCCAGTGGGAGTAGGCTTTCCCTGCAGCCTTTGTGCCTAAAGGTGACATATTGTTCTGGATGGCAGGAGGAGCCTGAAAAAAACATTTTGTTTGCAACATCAAGGAGGGAGCAGGGAAAAAAAAAACTGCTAAATTTTTGGTAAAACAGCATGACTTACTCCATATTGTTCTTGTATTCTCACTGCTGCTCTGAGGCTTATAATATGGCCAAAACTGGATCCCTGCTATTGCATAAATACTTCATTCATCAAATCCTATTTATGTGTTCACTAAGTGAAAAATTTAGTCACCCTACAGTCCCTCCCACATGCCTCTTCAGAGCATGTAACTATCCCAGAAAGCTCTTGACATTGAAACTCACTTCCTCTCACAATGTCTGTACTTCTGCCTGGAATATAGACTTGGCTTTATGGAAAACCTTGAAATTTAAACATATGTCCAACCTGAAGATTGCTAGTTATGAATCTGGGTGCAGTTTTGAAAAATTCAGTTTCTTCAAAATGATTTCCAACCACTGGGGCTCTACTTCTGTCTTTAATGTTAAGGCATTGTGAATAGTATTAGTACATTATTTAATATTTGTGTGCTGCAATTGAAATGGTGATTAATAGTCCCCATTTCAAAATTTAATAAATTAAAAAGTAAATCTGTTAAAAGATTTTCTGGAACAATCAGGTAAAATTTAAGGCAAGTGTGCTAAATATTCTGTAGTTGGAATATTAGTTGTGCCACAGAAGTGTCTTGCACAATTTCAGTACTAACAAAATCAAGACTGTAGCTTTTGTTCTAGTAGGGAGCCCCAGAAATAGAGTGGAGGCGAGAGCAGCAAATTAATGAGGTGGCAGACAAAGCAAAGGATGAAAAAGTAATTGAGGAAATCAAATTACCAGACAGACCTAAAGGCAGTGATTGCATGAAAGAAGAGTCGAAGAAAAGCCTGAGGGAAGTAAGGACAAAGACCCAGGACAAGCTGGTAGAAGAAGCTACCTATTAATACCTGTAAAAATGGGGTTTTCTGGGTTCTCCTTGATCCTGAAATTCATTTGGAATATATCACTTTGCTAAAATATATATTTGGGTGAATTTCTCAGCATTGGTACAGCGTGACTAGTCCTGAAGGCATCCCAGGAGTACAATCTTACCTGCTCTGTATTCATAAGCACAGGTGTTTAAAAGCTGAAGTTGTGTAACATGGAAGACCTTGCTTTAAAAAACCCTTTAAGCATGCTGATAGAATTCTGTTGTTAGAGCAAGCCTATAGGAGGTTTAACAAGGCACTGGGCGGTCAGTACTGCTAGTAGAACTATAACAGGAGTCAGCTGAAAATAAGCCCTGGCATTTCCCCTCAAATGCTCTGCTCCTGCTTTTTGTAGCTATACATGTTAAGCCCATCAAAATAATTCAGAAGGCAAGTGGAGTCTGTGAGCTCACAGTCTGTTTTTTGGGAGATGGACTCACTGATGTCATATGGAGCCTGGTTTGGCATCAGTTCACAGAGAAGATGAGCTTTTGGCATGCCATGTTGGATGGATGGTGTTATCATCTCTGCTGGATACCAGGGGAGCAGATGTTCCCTGGTTTGGCCCCAGGCTGGTAGGCATCATATGTACACTTGACAAAATCCTACAGAGCAGCCTGCTTGGAACATTTTGAGACTTTCATGTCCTGTCTGCTCAGTGCTGTTTGGCAGCTGGTTTGGCCTGGCACCTTTTCAAGCTATCTCAAATCAATTAGTAAATGTTATTGAGCTTAAACAGGTCCTGGGCAGGATCTGTGGCAACATCACCAGACAGAGAAGTGTGATCACAATCTTTGGTTTCAAAGTCCACAGTATCTGAAGTTTTCTATTAAAGAAAGGAGTGTATTAGATTGTGACTGGGTCACAAATGAGAATATCAGGTTTTCAGTGTTTAGAATCAGGTGAGCCCTCATTGAAAGTTTTAAAGTCTTCTCCATGTGATAGTTGTGCCAGAATTAGGACCAGACATGCATCACAAATAGGAGTGATGCTAGAAAGGGAATGCTGTTATTCCTGACTGTATGAGAAAGAAGAGAGGGCTGATGGAATTAGAAGTCTGGGATAGGTTGAGGTATGACACTGTGGGCTAGTCAAACCAGAGCAGAACATACAGCCTGTTCTAGTGCAACATTTCTATACATTTTGTTATGGCAGTTTACACCTATTACTGATGTATGTGTAGATCCTCATGCGAAGAACATGGATGCGTTGGTAGGAGAGTCCAAATTAATAAATTGAGGGGTGGTTGCTTTAGAAGGTAAGGGATTATTTCCTGAGAGAGTGGACAGTGAGTAGCACATTCAGTGAATTTATCCTCCACCTCCCCTATCCCGTCCCAACTCCCAATGCCCCCTCTTGCAGAGTTGGGGAGCCCAGGATATTCTCAGTCCAGAGCTGGCAGGCAGTGTTTGTGCACAGAAATACCTTGTTGAGTGCTGGAAACAGCACTGAGCAGCTGAGCTCAACCTGCTCCCACACACCAAGGACAAACACCACATTTTCTCTTCTACCTAGCTGCACGTATTCACAGGATCTGTAGAAGTAGTCTAGTGAGAGGTTCTCCTTTGAAAAAGGTTCAGTCAGACCTGGATTCAGTGATCTTTTTGCAGCCAGGAAGAAAGGGGGCATAAAGTATATATCTTCAGGTTTTTATTGGTTTTTTTATGTGACCTAGGTAAAAAATAAACAAAACTCTTAATGGCTTGTGGATTTGTTGAGCAGGGATAGTATCATTATAAGGTAAAGAAAAAGGATTGTAAGTAGGGAAATAAAATGGTTAGGAAAAAAGATGAAGAGTACTACTGAAAGACTCTGGATGTCTTGACTTCTCATGCAAATTTGAGACTGTCTTAAAAGCATCTGTCTGAAAAGAGTAAAAGGTCACTCTTCTCTGATAATAGAAACTAATGAGTACACTATGTGATGGCTTAAAATTAAAAAGTTTAACTCTGCTGCAGAGATGAGATGGAAGAACAAAGTCTAAATACAAACCTGTGTTTTACGTATTTATCAAGCATGGATTGTTTAACCAAGTGTTTATTGTTTGCCATTTATCAACCATTTCATTTGTTTTGTTAGATGAACATTTATCTACTGCTCTTTTTCAAAAGCAAACAAGAAACATTAGCTAACAAACCAAACCAGTTGAACAATTTGAATTATTGTTGTTATTGTTGGATTTTTCCTAGAATTCCTCTAATTGTGTAAGTAGAAAAGGAGCACAGCAAAAGGGTGTCTGGACTACAACAAAGGATCATTAAGAAGTCTCCTCCCAAGGAGGGTTGACAAAATTTCCACTGCTTTTCTGGTTCATTAAATGAAGTTCAAAATTTTTGGTAAATGTTTCATATTGCTGCTGTGAAGTGGATGTGCTAAATCTTTCCTGAATAAAGTAAAACATTTCAGGGAGAGTTGTGATGTGCCATGGGATTTTTAGGCATGACTTTCCCCCTGCCTTTCTGTTGTGATTCTGGAGACTGAAACATTTAATGGTTTGTAGTGGAAACAGAGTGCAGTTACACAGTTATATGTACAATGCACTGAGGAATAAAACCACCTACAAGGCATTAGGCATATGTATGTTCATGCATTAAATATGTTTCTTCCCTTCCCAAAAGCTGGGGAAGAAACATATTTAATACATTAATATTTAAAGGTTATAATAAAAGGTTAATATAAAAGCAGTCAACAACAGCAACTTACTTGAACCGAGTATCTGTTTGTGTTCTTGGAGAACTCTAATAAATGTTGTATCTTACAGGGTGGGGATTTGGTTTTGATGCCACAGAATCATGGAATATCCTGAGTTGTAAGGGACCCATGTGTTTGGTGTGACATAAGTAAACTTTTCTTTGTTTGTTTCTTCATTTGTTTTTCAACCAATGCTTTTTTGTTTGGCAGAAAATGAACTGGCAACGCCACCTTTAGATGGCATCATCCTTCCAGGAGTGACAAGGCAAAGCATTTTGGATCTGGCACGCAACTGGGTGAGTGTTCTGGCAGTAATGGTTTCAATTGTCATGTTATAACTTCAGCAGAAGTAAACATTTCTGGTGCTCAGTGTCCTGAAGTTCAACTGATTAGGTTAAATCCTATGATCATAGATCAGTCTGGCTTCCTAGAATCATACAAAGGCCTGGGTTGGAGGGGACCTTGAAGCTCATCTCATTCCAACCCCCTGCCATGGGCAAGGCCACCTTACACTGTCCCAGGCTGCTTGGAGCCCATCCAGCCTGGCCTTGGAAAGGACCTTTAAAGGCCATCTATTGCAGTCTCCCTGCAGTGAGTATGGGTATCTTGCATGAGATCAGATTTGCCCAGAGCTGTGTCCAGCCTGTCAGAAACCCTGCTTTCAAGGTGCCCCTGGATGGCATCTCTTCCCTTCAGCCTGTCAGCCCACCATACAGCTTGGTGGTGCTGACAAAACCTGCTGAGCATGCACTCAGTCCCTTTAAGCTAATGGGAGCTCAGGGTGTGCTAATGCAGGGATTCTCAGGAGCATCACCAGAATGCACACACCTGTCACACAGAACAATACCAAGTTTGTTAAAGTAGCTCCATGCTGTATTTAACATGAAAATTCTCATTAAATCCACTGGTACTAGCAACTTAGAGCAAGGAAACAAAGAACTACCATGCATGACCACAGCTACCCTTCAGTCATCAGCTCATTATTTCTGCATTTAGTTCTCATGCTTCCAACCTTGTTTCTGCTAACAAGCATGCAGCCTGCCTAGCCACAGTCTTGAAGTCATGTCTGGTTCCTGTTCTGTAGTGCAGCAATCCAAGAACTTATTTGCACACTTGGAGCTAGATCATATCTTGAGATACAGCAAACTCTGCCTTGCTGTGTTCAAAGATTTGATTGCAGCCTGGGTAAGGATGCTACACAGCCAAAGGCTCATCAAGCCCAGTATCTTGTCTCCTGGATTTGGCTGGGATTATTCTTAGAGTGGGATAACAGGAATGCCACAAGCATGAAATAAAAATGTCAAAGTCTGACTTTTTTTTTGTTTTTTCTTTAAACACATCCCTTCAATTGATTCCTGTGCATTCTTCAACTCTTGTAGAAGGTAAAACACTTCCAGTATTAAGACTGCAGTGCAAATGCCTTTACTCATACCTGCTGTACACTTAATTTTTGTATGTGACAGCTGTGTGCAGGCTACAGTGGAACGTTTCACTAGGGATTAAAAAAATAGATCACATAAGGTGGCCTGGCAGGTGAAATTAATCAACAGAATGTATCTTGCTTAGGAACTGAGTGAGAGTGGGATGCAGAGGCTCTCTTGATATAATTGAGTAATCTTTGGAAAAACTCTAGCATGCTGGAGACCATTAGTACAGAGATCCAGTGTCCCATAACAATTGAACAATTCTTCTTTGTTATTCCCTAATGTGATACTGATACTCTGCACCAAATCAGAGGGAAGTGCCACTTAATCATCAGCATTGCATCTGGCAAACCATTGGTATCTTTGTAGAGCATTCTTCTGATGAAAATCTATCTTGTGTGATACTGGCATGTTTAAAAAGATGACAAGATCAGAGTCAACACTTATTGTCACTAGGCTAAAAGTTGTATTGGAAATGTTTCAGTGTAGAAAACAAGAACCGTAATGTTTTTAAACATTTTTCAATTTTTATGGTTGCTGCTTCTTGTGCAGGGAGAATTTAAAGTGTCTGAGCGATACATCACCATGAGTGACCTGACAGTTGCCTTGGAAGAGAGCAGAGTAAAGGAGATGTTTGGTGCTGGAACAGCTTGCATTGTATGTCCCATCTCTAAAATTTTATATAAGGGCAAGGTAAGGAAATGTTTCTTTCTTTTTACTCCTTTCCTTCTTTCTTCTGAATTTTATCACAGTTAATTGCAACTGAAGCCAAGGGATATAGAAAAGATGCACTGCCTGGAAAGATGAACAGTGTCAGTGTGTTGTTTCCCAAGTGAGTTACTGGTTGTCAGAGGGAACTTTTGTCATCTGGGGTTTTTCCTAATAGCTGAAAATATAAAATCTCAAGTTCTGGGAAAGTGAAAGAAAAAAACAGTTCCCAGCCAGTTTGCAAGTGTAGAAAAATACATTCTTCCACATTTCTTTTATTCAGTATTTTTTGCTAAGGTGCCTGGGAAGGGTGAGGAGAGAAAAGACTTTTACAGGGAACCAAATTTCTGAACCACAGCTGTCCTTTCTTTTCAAGTTCCTCTCTTGTTCACCCCTCATTGCAGGGATCCCAGCTCTGGTAGAAGAGCTATTTCAAGACAATGCACAGCTGCTTTCACCCACTGCTCACCATATGGGAGAGTTCTCCTGCACAGGTGGAATTCCCCAGGCATTCAGACTGTTATGCTGATTTGATACTATTTCATCAGCACAAAGTTAGTTCAGAGGACTAGGGGTAGTGCAGCTGCATAAAGGGTTGTGCTTTGTCCACTAAACGTGATAAGTGTCATAAATGTCTGTTAGGTGATATTTCCTGAATGAATAAAATAAAATAAATGTATTGATACTGCCTGATGATAATACGGGACTTTGAGGTGCTGAGTGAGAAGTACTGTAAATATAAGTGTTGTATTTCTACACAATATACTTTGAAATGAAATACTGTATATAATGTTATTACTACTCTTGCTTGCACAATATTCCCTCCATTTCAGACAAATCTCTTGAAGACCTTTATTGAACAGGAGCATAACAGTTTAACTTTTCACTGGCTTAGCAACACCCTCCTGTTTTAAAAAAACCAACCAACCAAAAACCCAACAAAAAACCCAAAACTAACCACCCTTTCCTTCTCATAAGGAGGGCTAGCCAGCATGATAAATATTTACTAAAATTTATGGCAACCATAAGGGATTCATATATATGTAAAGCTATTATTACATGTTATTCACTTTCTCTCCCCTTCTCCCTCTCCTTCATTCCATGCCAGCACTTGCACATCCCAACTATGGAGAATGGGCCTGAGTTAACAACCCGTTTCCTGAATAAGCTAAGTGATATCCAGGTAAGGTGTTTTCTCTTCTATAACCAGGTAAAATAATAAAAGATAAACATTTCAAAGGAGTGGAAAATAATATTTTTGGTAGTGATGCTATAGATGGCATTATATAGTAATGTAGATCCTTTTGTCTAGTATGATTATTCTGCCAATTTTCTTTCCTTGATAAAATATGGCACAGATGAAGTATAGTATAATTTTTCCCTACTCATCTTGGAAGGTGGGTAGGAGTTGCAAGATACTACTGTAATCAGTGAAATCTAATACTGTTGTTACAGTCTGCTTTTTAAGGGAAAAAGACAGGATTATGAAGCATCTTAACCACAATCACAAATGAGTACAGGTTAATCAGTAAGGCAGTTAAACACTCACTGGGCACAGCCAGCTCATCACCATTTCCATTTCTCATTATCTTTCTAATCACACGGTCACTTCTCATTCTTAAAGGAGTTCCCTCCCTCCTCTGTCATGTGCTAATATCAAAGTCTGTTTGGAATCTGTGCTTTTATCTCCATGTCTGGGCATAAGAACCATTTCAGGTAAAGTCAATGAGCAGCAGGTGCTGGCCCTTCTTATTAAAGTTGCCTGGGTTTTTTTCCTTATTTAGTGTAGTTTATGGTGTGGGGGATTTGGGTAGGAGAAGAGCTTGGCAAGTTATGCAGCCCCTTTATTTAAGATCTGATAGCAGTTGTTTGGCAGTATTGCCAGGATTTCTTCAAATTGATTCTGATGATTTCCGTTCTACATTTTTGGCTCCAAGTGTTCTTAGATTTGCCACTAAAATTTTTATGTTCCTGTCAGTAATCCTGTGATCTGTGTCTTTCTCCCTTGAGACGGTGATCAGTGTAAGACAAAGGCATCCAGTCTTTTCCCTGAGGGATCCTTCCATGCCCTCCCTGATCACAGAGTGTCAGAATGGGTCAGGCTGGAAGGGCCCCCAGTGGTCATCTGGTCCCAGCTCAGGCAGGATCATCCCAGAGCACATGGCCCAGCAGAGTGTCCAGACAGTTTTGGAGTATCTCCAGTGAGGGAGCTTCCACACCCTCTCTGGACAATGTCCAGTGCTTGGTCACTGCATGATAAAGAAGTTCTTTCTCGTGTTCAGGTGGAACTTCTGGGGCATCAGTTCCTGCCCACTGCCTCTTGCCTTATCACCCTGGTGTTCTACCACCAGCCAGGGCTCAGGAGTAGGAAAAAGTGTGTGGATTGTTACTAAACATTACTTTTCTGGGACCTTTTCACTTTACTTGCCTGTTGATGTGGACCTTTTCATCTTTCAGCTGTGTGGGTAGTCTGTGTTCATCTGTTACATGCCAGGAGTAATTTTGTTACTCCTGGAAAATGCTGGACTGTTATGTATATCTTAATTCTGGATTGTCTTCCTTCTCTAAAAAAACAGGAGAGTTAGAAGACATAATCATTGAAAACCATTTCTAAAATCACTGATTTTAAAGAGATTGGTAGTTACTTCCCCATTAAGAGTCAATCAGTGGTTGCTGGTTGTATTTCTGCACCTGTCTATCTGTGGAGAGATGGGCTCATATCCAGAAGGACCCCATGATGTTGCACAGAAAACAGTGCTGCAACACAAAAAGTGGACTACGTAATAACCTTAAAATGTCAAAGGAGAATCTTTGATCAAGGTCTTCTATATTCTCTACCAGGAGAAAAAAAAAAAACAGATCTCTTTGCATTATCACTGGATTATTGTAATATCATTTGGACAATCTGAGGCTGTAATTCTGAAGAATCTTCCAGTTTTGAGGAATAAAGCGCAATAGAAACAGCAGTCAAACACAGCTTTGGCCTCTGTGCTGTTCTGCTGCCTGAACTGGGGCAGTGTATCCATTTCATGTTGAACCACGGGAATTTGTAAAAAAGTAGAAATTCTCAGCATCACCATGTCCTGCATGTGAACCTGTGACCAGAAGGTGCAGGCTCCATATCCACTGTCATGATACCAGTTCCCTCGTGTACAGTACGTGCTGCTTTTATTATATTCATATTCTCTTCATTGTTGTGTTTCCAAGTCTGTTTTCATCCTGCTCTCTTGCAAGTCTGCCATGTTCAGTGGGATGTCTTTAGATGTGAGCAGCTGTTCAGTGGAACCAGAGCTGCAGTGACAAATTAGAAACTCATGGGCAGAACTGATTCAATTTCTCATGCCAGTTGAGAGAGACAGTGGTGCCACTGCAATACACATTTCCCTGCCTGTCACTGATTAGATATCATGATTACTAAAGGCTGATAAAGACTTCAAATTAAAGAACATATATAAATTAATCGTGTGCTTATGAATGACTCAGTGATAGTACACTCTTCCATAGCTGCTTGAGTTGGAAGATTTAGGGATGAGGTTCTTTTCTCTAGGAATACCACTCATGGTTTTGTGGGTTTGCATCCATGCTTTGAGAATAAACAAGCTTTTGCTGTGCCCTTTAAGACATGGATTAAGCTGCAGCTTGGAAGCGATGGATAGAAAATAAGATATATTGCTTATGCTACATGTTATTAAATGCATTTAAACACTGCAAGCAAGACAGCAGAGAAGAGACATTTAATCAAACCCCTTTTCTTACTCTGGGCAGTGAAAACCAACCAGGAAAGGACCATGTATGTGTTAATTTTTACTAAGAATGAGTTGGATGTGATGGACAGGGGAAGAGGGACCGGATTGACTAGCCTGAGATCACAAAGCCCTTGACAGAATTAAAAATGGAAGCTAAATCTGCTTTTATTTGCAGAAGGAAATGATTTTCATTGTGGCATTGCAGCTACCTTCCCCTTTAAATTCTGGAAGAAGGTGCAAACTTGAGTCAAATGGCAGCTCAGACTGGTCCTTGCAACAATTTATGTATCAGAGCATCAGATGATACTGCTGCCTAAAGGTAACAAAATTTACAAATAACTGCAACTGCAGAACAGGAGCAGCAGAAGTAATAATGAAAAGAAGAAGTAGATGTGATAATTACGAAGGTCAGTTAGATGCCTTGCCTGATGGAGTAAGGAGTAAAACACGAACCCACTGAACACCATTCCTTTGTGGATTCAGAAGTGTCTTTCTTCTGGCTCGTCCTGATTTGGAGCTGCTGTCTTTCCCCTGCTTTCATGACCTGTTACCTCTTTTCCTGCTGATGCAGACCTGTATTGGAGGAACTTTTTTCACTCTGGAGAAATTAAGTAATCTTTTTAGCCCACATAAAGCCTCTAAAATCAGTTTTCATTTCTTAGTTGAAGGTGTTTTCAAGCTCCCTGAGCATAACACCATAAGGGAAGGGACTCCCATCTGCTGCTGTCTCTCCACCTCTGAATTATTTACCTACTTGAGCCCTGTGAGTGTTTTGGGGTCTCTCTGGAGCATTGTTTACAGGGCTTCTGACAGAGCTTTAGAACATGGAACCAGTCTAGCTATCCAAAGTGCTGCCTTGGGGCTGAATCCTCCCCTGGAAGTGGATATGGCTGCATGCCATAGGTTGCCTTCATTTCTGCTTGGTGATCCCATTTGTTTGTGTATGGAAAGACCACTTGTTTTATTTTGGATTACAGTTCTCCCTAATTGTACTCTGTGGTATTTGTGATGGTTTTATTTCACATTCAGTCAGAATGTTGTACTAAAAAGCCACCTTGACAATAAAATAAAATGAAATGCGTTTATTGGAGCTTGAGCAGCGGCATAGTTATGAGTGAATTAGTGAGCAGGCCTCAGGGAGTAACTGCATTAAACTGATGGAAGTGAAGCAGGACTGTTCTGTGTCATCTGTAACGAGTATCAGCTCTGCTCCTTCCTAAGCCAGTTATTGTAATATGGGTAAAGCAAGCTATCTTTAGTCTGTGCCCAAATCAAAGGCAAGTAAAGCCATAGAAAATAGTATAAACTACTACCCAGAGCAGTGAAAATGAACATTTCTGAGGATAGACCTAAGACGTTATCATAAACATACACTGATTCTTTTAACTTTTGTTTTTAAACCTCATTTTTTGCTTTATTTCAGTATGGAAGAGAAGACAGCGACTGGGCAGTGCTGGTGTCGTGAAGGTGGCAGAGTTCAGACCCTCCATACAGACCTGACATCTGAGCAATGACAAATTCTCTAGTTGCCAGTGCATAGCATAGTCCCAGTATCAATTTGCTCCCCAGGATGATTGTTTCCACAATCTGGCAAATGTGAACACAATCATTTTGATTTCTACTGTAATCCTCTTGGTAGAAGCCTGTCTTCTTAGCAGAGGTGCTAAATGTTAGCAATAGAACCTTCCCAATGGTTTTCTTAGTGCCTCCTTATATACAGTCAGAAAACTTGTAAAATGCTCTTCAACTGCTCTTCAGTTTGGTTTGTTTACTGCCACCACCAACAGAACATGTGTCACGTGAGGATGTTGCCTGTTAGCTGCCCATGGGGTTCTGTTGACATTATTCTGCCTTTTGCTCTGTGTTTGGGAAACAAATTTAGCCATACACTCTGTCCTTTCATACTCTGCTTGTATAGGAGATTCCTGAGTTTGCATAGCTTGGTAGATGCCCTCATACTCTGTCCAATAACTAGCCTTTAGCCCAAAATTTTCTGAGTCAGTCTAGCCTGCAAGATGGTCCCTGCTGGCCTATTGCCCCTTACTCTCTGGGGATTTGCAGTGGCTGCTTGGGCAGAGCATTCCTCTCTAAGAGTTGAGTACATCCTTCTAGTCGTGATTTAAAGAGGCTGTGTCAGGCCCTGCTGAGATGAAAATTCCCCTTTGGCCTAGCAGAGCTGGGCTCTGCAGAGCCCAAGTGGACAACATACAGTGTTGCCTTCCAGGTGAATGTCTAGAAAGTGAAATTAGACAGCTTTGGCTGTGAAAATTGAACCATTCTTCACAGCAAACAAACCTTTGGATTGAGGAGTTTCTTCCATCATCCACTCACATAATTTAGATCAGAAAAAATGTTTTCCTCACCCCTTTCATATACTTGCTGTGTCCAGCCTCCTTTAACACATGTACTGTAGAAGGGCCTTCCTGTTAAGGAGCAAGCAGTGTTGTCAGCAGAAAATGTCTAGAAGGAAAGAGGTTTGCATTCAAACCCTGATTTCATTCTGGTTAAGCAGATAATTCATAGAATGCTGCTTTCTCACATGCAGTCTTGATTCTTTGGAAGCAATACAGAGCATGTAGCCCATAGCTGGGGTAGTAACTTCTGCAAATGTTCACTAACAACCATCATGCAATATTTATTAGCTTTCTCCTTCTGCACACAGCTTTGTTGAACAGCTTTAAGATACCTCTTGCCAAAAAGGATAACCATATTCTGTATCAATGTTCCAAAGTGCTACTTCAGTATAAAACTGGTGGAACTTTATTGACACTTTATTGAAGTCCTATAAGAAGTAAAAGTGAAACATTTCTTGTTCTAGTTTGCAGTAGAGATGCACCATTATTAAGGGAAACATTTAGGACTTTTTTTAAGACCAACAGTATCTCTCCCATGCTTAATAAGTCCTTTGTAGTTACTGGCATTTGTTAACATAGTTTAAAAAGGCAAAATATAATTTCTAGTGGACCATCCATGCCTTATGCAGCTGATGAAGAGCAGCCTTACGGCTTCCTGTTCATTTTTGGTCACATTTTGAAGACCCCTCCTTAGCCATCACTTTCTTCTGCTCCCTCAGATCTTGATTTTTCCTGTCTTTGACTGCAGTCCAGTCTGATCTTTTAATGAAGAACAGTTGAAGGTTCTCTCTGACAATGTAACTATCGTTAAAAATTGATGGATAATTTTTTCTTTAGTCTATGACTGTAAGCATAAAAAATTGTTTCACTCACAGTAGCCACAGTGTTGTGACCATTTGAATATGTATCCTGTGCTGGTCTTTGTTCAGTATCTTACTATGTGTTATAAGCTGCTGGATAGTCTTTCCTTTTATTTAATTAGTAGTCTTTCCTTTTATTTAATTGGATGGCTGGAAAAATAAACATATATCAAGGTGCAACATGGGGTAGAGAGTTTTATACAATGAGGCCAGTATCAAAATTAAAGAGTGCCTTTAACCAGAGTCTGGCATGGAGCTCTCTAAAGATGATGCAATGAGCAACCATTTGTGGCTTATAGGCACTGAGCAATCTTCCCCTAAATTCCATCTTTGCAAATACGGCAAATGGAAAAGTGAAAATATCTAACTTCAGATGCATGGTAAAGTGGTTGTGCAATACCTGAACATCTCAGCTTTGACAGAGTTGAAAAATGATACCATATATCAAAAAATCCCCATGAAGGCCTCAGCATACCAGCAGCAATCTATTCACTAGGCAGAAGGAACAAGGACCAGTTAGAAGAGTTATTTTACTGAACAGTAAACCTGAAAGTTGTGTAAAACCTTCCTTAAATTGGTTGCAAGTCATTTAACATGAAGGAACCAGGTGTTGTGTTTTGCACTGTTTCCTGCACTGTCCAGAGAGACACCTCTCTTTTTTCTGCTGATGCAGACTTCAAAATGAGGAGAGTTGATAGTGCAATGACCCACAGAAATGAGTGGTCTTTTCTCCCAGGGAAAAATGAAAACGTGAAGTGTGTGTATGCTAATTGTTGTCTTTAACATCTTGGTTAATTGCCTTGTGCTGTCTGTGTCAGCTCAAAGCTGTGCTTGTTTCCAAGTGGAATCCAGGGGAATAGGTTTTAGATTTTTAACTTTGAAACCTAAATAAGAGAGCTTACAGGACAGTATAGTACAGGAAATTCTTCTGATGTTGCATGCTGAACATCTGAATTCTGGCAGTGCATTTTATCCCAATAACCAAAGGAAAGAAATAACATGTGTAAGTAACAATCAGTATTAGATATTGCAGTCCCCTTGTTTTCACTTGTAAAATTTAGGAGGGAACTGTGGTGTTCCCTGAGCTGGTAACAGATTGTAAAAGAACATCTGCACATCTTTTCTCCATGTGCCCTATTTGTTTAATTGCAACAGATTTACATAGAAGGATAGAAGGAGTATGGTACATCATAACTAGGCAATTATCCATTCTTCATCACTTAGTTATGGTTCTGGTAATTGATAATTTAAGACATAAGATAGTCTAATAGCAAAATTTGAAACTGTTCAAAAAAGATCAACAAATTAATATTGTTATGTGATATTTGCATAATTGGCTGTGATTATTTAATGTTTAATTGGGTTGATCGGATGAGATTCAGCCTTTCACATGCTTATGTTTTACAAACACTGGTATTTTAAAATGATAATAATGAAATCTAATTGTCATATGTTCTTTTTTCTCCATTCTTTTGATTATTATTTTCTGTATTGAGCATGTCCTTAATTTTAAGTTTGGTTAGCATGATTCATGGCTAGGAAAAAAGTCCTTCAAATAACAGAAATTTCATGGCATTTCTACAAGCCATTCTGGTGCCAAGAATTATGATAAGCTTCAGCAACTGGCATTACTTAACCAGATTGTTAACTGCAGTGAGGGCAAACTCACTGAGAATTGACAGGGACAGTCCTAGGTGAGGATGCTGATAAAGTTTCCTAGGGTAGACAACTTGTTCAGTCCATAGCAGGGCAAAACAAACATGATTTTTCTGGAGTATAGAAGGGAAGACTGATGAGACAAAAGCAAGGTAGTGAGATCTCTCTTTGTTTACACCTGTTTAACTATCTCAAGCCAAAAAGCAGTTATCAGCCATTCCTCCTCTTTGTACATAACCTCTTGCTTGGGTTTGCCTAATTCAACATAGAGATATCATAGGTCCTTTCCTGTATACTTATTTTTATTATTTATCCTCAGGCATGAAGAATGGTAATTTGGAAAAATGTGATATTTGAAAGTCTTGATTTGGAGTGCAAGTTATTTGAAATGTCTGTCTTCCAAGAGGTAGACAAAAAACCAGCTGGGACTCATCTCAGAGCTGCTTCGTTAGAGGAGGAACCCTCTTAAATTCAATGGCCTCTCCAAAACAATTGCATAATCCCAGCAGGTTGCTGAGTGTGAACTGTGTTCACTGTGCCTTGCTCTGGAGTAGAACACAGAGGTGTACAGAGTTAGTGGCACATCCTGGCAGACTGTGGTACGCTGCCTTTCTCTGCATGGGTTGCACCCTGCTGAGGATAAGTTTTAATGTTCTAGTGGCAGGCTGATGTCCTGAGAGGTGGCAGCTGTAAATGATGCCCCGAGATAGTTGTTGCCCTGTTCCTTTCTGTCTTTCTCTTGCTTGCACCCATTCTTCCCCAGCTTTCTATTGCTGTCTCATATCTAAAAGTGACTATTTAAGCAAATTGGCATTCTTGCTTTTAGCAGTAGTGACGGTTAAAAAACAACAACAAAAAAGGTAGTTTTTGTATTCCAGCTGTTGAGGGATCAGAATTTACCACCAGAGCATGTAGTCCCTGAACAGACTGCCACTGACTTTGTGACCCTGGACAAGTTACCTAAACTCTTTCTGAGTGCAGAGTATTAGTACTGCCACTTATACCACTTCTAACTCTAATCCAGACTTCTGCTTAAAAACTTATTTCATTACAGATCAAATTAAGCTTTCCAGAAAAAGCTTTTTAAGCAACAAGAAATATGCCCTGTAAAGTCCAGTATTTCAAGGATCACATTAGAATAAACTAACTTGGTTATGCAGGGAAAAATGTTATTTAAATAAGAAGTACATTCAAGGTTTGCTGCATAAACCCACAAATGTAGAACAAATGTAGAATATAAAAATTAGCATACAGAATGACCTTGACAAGATAACTTAATCTCAGACTGGGCCATCCTATTGGAAAAGTGATACTTGAAGGAATCAGGACACCTCTCAGTGTAAAGTCATGAGCATGGGACTACGTTAGAGGTGCACTCGTAGCAGTGAGACAGACCTCTTTATCCATCTTGATCAAAAATTTGCTGAACTGCAGTGCTTACAAATTTGGAGGTGTGAAAGATTGCTGTTTTACTGTATTTTGTCTCTAACCTCAAGATTTGGAAAAATAATTCAGAGGTTCCAAACAATTTAAACTCAAAAATTTCTTAATAAGTTATTTGTATTTTTTAGCCCTAAGAGCAGAAGAGAATACTGGCATTGCATTGGTGAAAAATACTGTTGTATCAGTCCTCCTGTCCATGCCTTGCTTTGAGCATGATTCTTTTTAGTAAGAATTCCAGAATATTTTCTCTGACTGCAAAATCTGAGTGGCATCGATAGTACACTTGGCAAATATATCCCCAGCTCCATAAAAACCAAACGGAACTTACCTGGCCATTACCTTGAGCTAGAACAGTCAGGTACCTTAGGACATTGGAACTTAGCAGATAAGGAACAATCCTAAATAACAACAGTAAATAGATTTGAAATAAGATAGTCAATAGATTTGGAATTAAGTTTTGGAATTAGTAGTTCAGATAAACAGAAATCTCATTAATTACACTAGCAAGGGTAACCACACATAAATATACTAAAAAGGTAATGGTAATTATATTCACCAGTAGTAACAGCATGCTGCTCTCTGAACATGAATTTATATTCTTTGCTTACATTAAAATTTAATTTGTCATGTCTATGATTTTTACCACAATCCTACATTTTCATGCCATGCTTTAAAAAAAAAGTCTCTTAAATTTCATGTTAATGAGAAGATCTTAAGGAAGATTTAAGACCTTGATTTAAAATTTTAAAGCCTTTAAAATACTTGCTGGGTAAAGTTATGGTAGAAACAGGGAAGACAACTTTGTGCAAGCATTTGAATAGTGCTCTAAATGGTTTACCAGCACTGGCCATTTTTGGTTTTTACCAAAGAGGTATGCAGTTGATAAAATAGGCTTATTGCTTGTTTTCCTGAATAAGAGTTGGGGAAGTTTCTAAGAGCTGGTTCTCTTAACACTAACTCTGTATAGTTCCTGATTCTGTCAGGCTTAGAGCAGTCATTTCAGGGGGAGGTAGAGGAGCTCAGAAGCTTTTCTCAGGCAGCACTGTCCTGCAGAAAAAGATTTTTGATCCTTTTATGACTGAAGTGATTGAGGTATGAACATGGAATCTTTTAAACTTTGCACCTTTTTATAAAAATTTTGCTTTTCATTTTAGTGTTCTGATACAGTGTTGCCAAACTGTTGTCTTACACTATCATACTGCAGTAGCTTATAGGAAGAAAGCAAACATTCTTTATGTAATTACCTCCTTCCTGTATGCCAAATCCCCTGGTCGCTGTGATTTGGTCACCACTAGAATTGTGCTCACTTCGGGTGCAATAACTGCACCCTGCTTGTGCTAAACAAAGCACTTAGTGCTGGCAGCAAAGGCCAGAGCAGGGAGTGAAAAGTCTGCTGGGTTAGGAAGAGGCATGCCAGGAGCAAGAGTGAAAATACCCATCAGGTCAGTGAGGCAGGAGGTCAGCAGCACATCGTAGCCACTCTCGTTCAGTCCAGCTGAGGCACCACCCTGGCACGTCAGAAATCCAGCAGGATCAGCGACTGATGTTGGTATTTAAAAATGCTCTTATTCAGTTGCTTAAACACCTCCATCTGTGCCTGCATTTTCAGCCTGAGCCCCTGTATCTTCACTGAAAGCTGCAACATACTTTTTTGTGTTCTCAAACTGGAATATTTGGTCAAACAGCTAATGCTCCATACCACCTAACAGGTCACTGATGTGTTATCTTCCCATGATTTGTGATAAGCCCAGTGGTTGTCTAGAGCTGCAGGTAGGAGACAAACACATTGCTAACACTATTTCATAGTCCAGAATGTTCACAAAGAGTGCATCTATTCCCTTTGTCTCCCGCGGAGACAGCTTGGACTCACCTTGGCCACTGAGTGACAAAATGTAGAAGGTTGTTTGCCATGATGGAGGCAAGTTAGAATTTCATCTGAAGCTATTTACAAACAATTTATGTTGGAAAGCCAGAAGTCCCCACCTGCTTGATCTTTGAGGCATTTAGAAGGGTGCAGTAGTGGTTACTGAAATTGTGGCACATAAGCAGTGGGAAATTAGCAACTTAGGGAGGGAAAAGTAAACACCTCAGAAGGGTCTCTGTTTTCTCACATGTTGAAAGTGAACTGGGTGTTTTACGAGAATCTGAAGCATATAAAAGCAGTAAAGGACAGATGTGTGAAAGAAGTACTGGATAAACTAAAGGAAACTCTACCTCATTATTCTCTAAAGGTTTTGTAGAAGCACAATTTAGAGCTCCTAATGGCATTGTTACGTAGCAACCATCTGGCATGAAAGAAGCACTATATTTGTATGTCTGTAAAACCTGTAAGAACTGTATTTTGCTGGCAGTAGAAACAGTCTATACTATTTGCGGTTTTCCTCATCAAATCTGTAATTATTCAATGTTTCTGTCTCCAATAAAGAATTTAATTGGCACCTGTTTGTGGCACGTTATGAAACCATTGGTGTTGAGCTAACTAAGTGTAATTATGCAGTAGATGGGAGCTGCTATGAAATAAATTCTTGAAGGCTGGATTGAAAGAAAAAAAATTGGGTGAAGTGTGGCATGTAAGAGCAGCAAAGCAAGGCTGAAGTGGCAGACATGCATCTACGCTGCCAAGCCTGGAGGCTGAGCCAGTTATCTCACTTACAATAAAATGCTGGACAAATTAAGCAGTACAAGTACCTACCTGCTAACCATGTAGTCATGAAACAGTTTTTAATATGCCAGGACTGTGTGGCAGTGATTGAATACAGCTCCCATTCTAAGGGTTTGGGGTGATGAAGTCAAGGGAGAGAATGCCAGAAAACAGCTTTATACTTGGAGCACTTACTTCACAGGACATTTTTTGAACAGTCATCACTACCAAATAGTTTAACCAGTGGGAAGCCTTTTGAAGATGGAAGGTACTGGAAGTGAGCATCATTAAAATCTTGACATTTGCCATGTGTAGTGGCTATATTTAAAAAAAAAACAAACAACTTTACGTATTCCCCCTCTCCAGGGAAGAGAATACTGTGATTAAAAGTAGTACTCATCCATGCTGTGGTAAAGTAAGCATCAAGGTACATTTTCCACCTGGTTTAGTTCTTGGTGACTTCATAGAAAGCTGGCGTGGACACAGGACACTTTAAAGAAGTTATAGATAGGTAAGTACTCAGGGTTATTAATTACTGCTAGGAGAATGAACCTAACATGTCAGAATCTGACTTCTTTCCTGTGTCTTGGCCTCTCCTGCTTTCATCCTAAGGGAACCTTTCTTAACTCCAGCTTGAGTCCCAGCTTTCAAACCTTACCTATCCCAAGTAGTAATAAGTTGAGGACTGATCATAAAAGGTGCTGAGTGGGCTTCAGAGACTAACCTGTGCCTTTTAGCAAGTTTAAAAGACTTTCTGTTTTTCCTCCCATTTGAAATATCTCAGTAGCAGGCAGTATCTCTGTCCAGTAAAGCACTTGCAGAATCACCACCAGCACTGTGTTGGGGCTGGAAGGTACCAATTCTGAGGGCTTTGATCCAGGATATAAAACCCTTGTAAAGCTCATGTGACAAAAAAACCTCCAAACCCTCAGTTTTAATTAAAATAGTAACAGTGAGAGGGCAAAGCAGAAAGCAAACAGCCAGTTTTGGGGATTCCAGTATAGGCAGTCAGAATTAGAAATGCTGATTTTAAGAGCATATCAACAAAAGTGTCAAATTGAAGCTTTCCTTCTCCCTTTAATTTTGCTCACTGTTTTCATATTGTGGCATCACAGTGGTGACTTTTAACAGCTGTTAATGAATTACCCCATTGGCCAAGAAGAGCAGAATTTTCTGTAGTAGCACCTTTGTTGTTCTGGATGCTTCTCCAATGACAAACTTGTAAAAAGAGACATGGGAATGTGGAAAGTGTCTGCTGATCTCTCTTGCAAGGAAATGGTTTTTAGTGCTTGGTAAGAAAATATTTGCCATGCTTCACCTGCAGGTGGTACTATATTGTATCTGTACAAAATAGGGATTTTAAATTCTGAGCTTTCAAGGAAACTGTTCTGAAATTATTTCAGAATAACTTCTGTTTATTAACAGTTCTCATTTTGCACATGACATAATTCTTTCAGAAGATTCAACTGGTTTATTCAAGCTCTTAGTGTTATTTAGATAGTTATCCTGAACTTTGATTGTGGTGTAAGTTAACCCCCCCTTTTTTTAGAATGGTGTGAAGAAAACTTACGCACAAAGAAAGGATCCTAACCAAACTTGAATATTTGTGAGATAAATAATTACCTAACCCTAAAGGAGAAACACACAACAAAATATTTCAAATGAGCTCTAACCACAGACTGTAAAGTGCACCCACACTTTAAATTTAAATACTACATAAGTAATGTAATATTTTAAGTTGTCTTCTTATCGAGTTAACAGTTAGTTGTGTAAGGCAGGGGTGCATACTGACAGCCTAGAAGACATGGCCTTTCAAAGACAAAGCTGATGAGGCAAATACCGATTTTTGTGTGGGATCTGTGAAGTGACACTCTGAATGCTCAGAACAGACCAGCCATCCTCAGTACACAGCAAGTGTTCATTCAGGGAGCTTCAGGCTCTGCCTACAGGCAGATGTAGGCAGAGCCCTGATCTAGGTGTGCAGGTGAATCTGTGGCATGATCTGGAATTGTGTGCTCTGCAGGATTGTTATGGGGAGTTGATTTTATATCTGCCCTTTATAGATGTGCACATTAAATACGTGCTGGGAGGCTGCCGCTCCCAGAAACACCATCCCCTGTAGAACAGTCAGGGCAGTTCTGACAGGGGTGAAATTCACCTCCTGTGCCACACAAGTCTTAAATCAGACCGTGACTTAGCTGCCCTTTAGGTGACATTTACACAGCGCATCACCGAGCGGAGCCAGCGGGAGCACCAGTTTCAGCAGAGACTACGATGATGTTAGCTCAGATTCTAACTTGATTCCTGAGCTCTGAGGTGACGAAGGGGACGGCTCCACTCCTTTCCCCGCTGCCCTGTCCCTGAGCTCTCCTCTGCGGCCCTGCTGGCACTGTACCAGCTGCAGGGTGCCCAGCTCCCTGCTTGGCCACGGGAAGGCAGAAACACTTGCCCAGATGCCATAGGCAGGAAGGGCAGGGCTGCTCTCTTAGCCACAGCAGCATTTGTCTGTAGGATCTGAAGCCAGTTCAGAAATCAGCCCCTCTGAGACATCAGGATTTAAGTATATCCCAGGTGCTAGACACTTTTATGATGGCTCTTAAAATTTAATGCACCAGACCTTGCTTAAGTCACTGCTGAATTCTGGTTTTTTTTTTTTTAAACCTGCCTTTAGCTCATACAAACCTTGTGCCTCAGTGAAGTCTGTAATATTTGCTTTACTGTGAAATCCCAGGTTGGATAAGAAAGGACCTTTTGAAGATTTTGTGTCATGAGGGCATGTCTGAAAACTGACTAGAGCAGACAGTGAAAAATATGCCCATCTATTTAGGAAACCTTAGTGCTTTAAAAATTGCAGAAAAATGTCACAGATCAGCCTCCTGTCCTAGGATTTTTTACCTCTAGGGATGGGGTTCTGACCATCCTATTGTTCTGGATCCTCCCAGCTAAGAATCACATTGCTTTTAAATACTTAAAAACTTCATATCATTCTCACCCTCCACTGCAGAATCTATCCTTTTATCATGCAAAGAACAGAAAATCTGAAAATTTTGTCAGGTGCTTATATTCCTGTCTTCAGAATGCACTCCCACAAATACCAGCCTGTAAGGATAACTCATAGCACAGGTACCCTTTGCTACTCTCTCCTTTTGCAGGTAGAATATTTCCTCTTGAGGAAGAAAACCAGTAGAGTCTGATTTAAATTCAAGCTTAGAAATCCTCTCCAATCCCTTCTCCATGGAGTGCTTTCCCTTGGACGCGGTGGGTCAGTCACTCAGCAGTGAGGACAGATCCCACCTGTGCTCAGTTTGTTGTAATCAAAACGTTTCGTTTGCTGTCAGGTGGCAGCAATCACCACCCAGTTCCCCTTGCAAAGTCATTATCTGGCCGGGGAGGGTCGGTTGGAGGGACATGATGAGAGAAATGGCATTTCCCTTGGCTCTCTTTTGGTGTCTCCATCACCTGTGCCTGTCTGAGGCTGGGAGGTGCTGATAGCTGCTGTCAGGTGAGTCACTAAGCCAAAGCTCTTCAGATTTCTCCAGTTCTTCCCAGACTGCTGAGCTTGTAGCCTCTGTGTGTGCTGAGGAGGGAAGCAAAGAGAGGTTGTGTGTGTTTTTCTGAAGGACCAAAGGAGCATAGCTTCAGGGATGTAGGCTCTGCTTGTGTTGCACGCTGGAAGAATTCTGTCTGAGGAACCTGTTGGTCCCATCACATTCCTTAAATAAGGCTTCTTTGAAAAAAATAACTTGACTGCCTGTATTTTTGATGTCATGAGACCCCAAATGCTGCATTTTTTTCCCTTGTGCAGTCTGATTTCCTAAAGAGGCAAAGCACAATTTATAGATTTGTTCTTTGACTTCAGGGAATCCAGATTGCAATCTGCCAGCCTGGGCAGAGGCTTATTTAACAATATGTGCATGAAAGCTTGTAACTGGGACTGGTATTGGGCATACAGGCCATAACCAATCAGCACATTTTTAGGTCAGAGGTTTTGCCTGGTTTTGAGAGATAAATGTTGTTGAGGTCCTACCTTGCCATTTTTTACATCTACTAGGGTGAATCTTAGAGCTTGATGGTTCCTCTTTATCTCTTTGACTCTCAGAGTCCCTTGGGAAGATTCCCTTATGCTGCTATATCTGAGTGGCAGTCAGACTCCTTATTCCACATTTCCTTCACATCAACAGCAACAAAAATATCAATATCTGTGTTATTTAACCATTTTTGTATACGTGTAACATTGACAACTTTTTAGTACTAAGATAACACAACCCAGAAGTTAAAGAGAAATGTCAATAAGGGAAAATTTCAGCCTGAAAAAAGGGAAAATTCCCCCAGTTTTACAGGATAAGATCATATTAAAACCCCAACCTTAATTTCTGAACACGTGCATATTCCTGCCAAGCCTCACAGCCTCTTTATGGCAACTTATTCCTGGAAAGAGAAAGTAGCATGAACAAGGCTTTATTATCTGTTACTGCAATTTAAGCAGCATGAAAGAGAGCCAGTGTTTGACTCAGTGAAACTCTCGTCAAATTAGATATGAAGTTCAGGGCAAAATTAATCTGCTGTAGAGTTGTTTAACCTGTTTCTTTCTCTGAGAAAATAGATATCATCAGGAAAAATAATTTTGTGTTTGTGTAGAGCTGGTAGCCAGAAAGTGTTATGGTTTTAATTTTAAAAAATAAAAGTAATTTTTCAGGCAAAAAATAAAATTATGACCCACAGATAATCAGTAATCAACCAAGAATATTTTAACAATCATCAGTCATCAGATGATAAATTTGAGATCTTTCACAGGAA